CCCACAAACAAGTTTTAACAAACGTTTACGCCGTGGTTTTTTTGTACTTTAGCAACAATATGCAAGGGGCCAAAACGTGGCCAACACAAGAATTTTTTTTCTTTTGCATTATCATTGCCAGTAGTGAATGTACTTTAGGTTCAATGTAAGAGAAACAAATATATTTCTGATATCTTAAATTTAGTATAAAATATGATGGCTTCGGGTCTGGACATGGGCATATTTCACACTCATTATTACAACATTTGTCAAACATTTGCATGAGTAACATTTACATTATTATCAGCTGCGTGACAAAGAGGCCTCATCCCATGGCTAAGGCCTTTCTACGTGCCTTTCTACCATACAGCCTAGAGGTCATGTAGGGCCACCGGGGTACGGGTGACAATTAAGAGCGTATTTTATGTTGTTTTTCACTTTCTGCTTATTATTAAGGAACCCACTTGGTCGATTTGGGGCCCATGGTCCTGAAAAAAAAAGTTCTGATTAATTATAGGCCCGGGCCTCTTGGCGTGAGAGCTCATAACTGTTACGCCACTGATTATTATTTCAAAAACTTACTGAACAGTTGACAAACACAAGTGTAGGTATATATTGCATAATTAGAACAATAGGAAAATGATAACATACTTCTATTGTTGCAATAGGCATTAATTGGCTGTTGACCACAAACAGTTGAATTGCAAAACTTGATTGTAAGCTCCGTTTCTTCCGAAGATTGTAGGTTTCCATCATTATCGGAAGAAGAAAATGCTTAAAAAAAAATTATATTGCTCCAAAATTCAATAACAAAACAAATATTGGATATATTGTGTATGTCAGGCATATGGATATGCAGTGGCGTATCTATGGGTGCGCCCCTCTCCGATACCCCATTCGCCCCCACCCCCAAAGAAAAAGATATACACCAAAAGAGCATGAAAACTCTTGATGTTCAAATTATATAATGTTTTACAGAAGAAGGGGTAAATATTTGCATTGCTTAGGGAGAGAAGATTACTTAGTATGTTGTATTGTTTTAGAAAATAAGGGAAAAAGTTGTGTAAAGTCTTATTTAATGGGAAGGGTACAATTTGAACTGTTCAGAGAGGGTTGGAGGGAGCGGGATGGAAGAAAGGATTAATGTAAGCTGTTTTGATTTGGTTGAATTTAGTTGTTCTTTTTACATTTGATGTAATAGGCTAGTTTTGTTTCTCGGACGCACCCACCTTCGTGTTTCAAATTGTGCCACTGCTATAAATGTGCAAGTTCAAAAAATATTATTATTATTATTACTATCAGATAAACATCACAACGGAACAAACCATTTCATGGGAATAATCTTACTAATTAGTGAGTGTTTTTTTGTTTGTTTCTGATTTCCGCCCCTGGGTTATAATAATAAGTATTAATGTTTTTTTTAAATTAGGTTTTATACGTTACTTCATTTGTGTTTCTTTAAACCCAACTATTTTATAATAAAGAATAATTACTGAGAAATACATACTGTTATTAGGCCTATTGCTTATAGCATTATTATAAGAGATGTCTTGAAATTCTGACATCAAATATAAACTGGACATTTGAATTTCAACTACTACGGTATATGACCAACATGTAGAAAATGAACTCAACTTACAAAAAGAATTTAGTGTTCCTTCTACAGAATCTGAAAAAAAAAGATTTGATTCTTACCAAACTATTAAAAGTTACATTTTTACAGCATATTTTATTTTCTAGGGCAACTCATGAGAATAGCATTTTTGGGGTCATATTATATTTGATCAAATGGATTTGAAATATTTACAAAATTACATTAATTATACGTACTATATTAATTTAATAATTTATATAGGCCTAAGTAATTTATTAGCCCCATATTAACATTATTTTAATGGTAACTAATTATGTAAATTACTTGTATAGCCTGTTGGTCGTCCACCAGATTGTTATTACATTATAAAATTTATTATATTATGTATAATGATATCATATATTATGTACTTACTAACACACCCTACTGGAAAGTCTTCATCCCACTCTTCATTTTCACATGTTACTACGAGTTCAACATCTGATGTACCGGGTATATAGTAACCGTCATCACAAATGAATGATACTGTATTATTTTGCTTTCTGACAATACCATTCCATAATGTTAATGGGGAGGGTGGACATGTTGGTTTTTTACCTGATAAGCAAACATGAAAATGAAGTGAGTTATAACTACCATGTGTATAATAATTTAATGCAGTTTTAAGTGCAAAAAAGAAAAAAAGTATTTCAAGTACCGTAAACCCTCAAATAGAAGCTCAATAGATTTAATCGAGAACAAGCCCACCTCAAACAAGCCCTTCTTTAAATTGCAAAAGTAATCTCGAAAAGAAACTTATCTTGAAAAGAAGCCAAATGCCGTATAGTAGCAATTCCAAATATTTACAGCATTCATTTTTGAAAAGAGACCCCCTCTTTAGTTTGCAAAAGTAATCTCGAAAGGAAGCCCACTTCGAAAAAAATCCCATCTCGAAAAGAAGACAATTCAATGTTCCTAAAAAAACAAAGAAGCCCAGCTTCTATTCAAGGTTTTACGGTACCCTGCCTATACAACTCCTATTGTAACCATGAAACTAATGATGAAATCTAATGTGTACAAACTGCAAGGGTATTCTTTCATCCCAACACACTTCTTCTCTCTTTAAGCGCGTTGGGACCACTGATCTCTACTGATCATTTTCTAATTTGGCGCATAATATTATTTTTATTATCTATAGGTGTAATTTTGCGCGACCTGACGTGGAAATGTACCGAATATTCAGTACATTTGAAAACAACTGCGAAAAAAATCGCAAGTTGTTCTCGGGTGGGACTCGAACCCACGATCTCCAGATCACTAGCCTGGCATCATATCTCTAGACCACCGAGCTTGCGCCTGATGGCCAGGGTTGAATTCGAGTCCAAGTAAGCAGCGGGTACTGCAGCGTTGATAGGCTAGTAATTGTTATTGTCGTTATGGATTAATAGGCAATAACTGGATTTGCGTCAGGAGAAACATGTATAGGTGTAATTTTGCCCTACCTGACGTGGAAATGTACCGAATACTCAGTACATTTGAAAACAACTGCGAACAAAATCGCAAGTTGTTCTCAGGTGGGACTCGAACCCACGATCTCCAGATCACTAGCCTGGCATCATACCTCTAGACCTCTAGATTTTCATTATCGTTATTAAAATAGTTGGAAAGAACTTTGAATGGACCTTTCCGGTATGACAATCAAACTTACTAACTGACCAATCAAAACAGGGCCAGCCATACGCACAGTGTTCTACACCGCTACATATTTTTTACGCTATCGTTTTACGGGACCATAGCAACAATATCCAAGGAGCGTGTCTTAGTGGAAAGGTCGGCTGTTGTACACATCAGTAGTAAAAGTTCTAGTAAAAAGTACTGTTATTACTGATCAGACATTAGCTTATATTGTCCTACATACATGATGATGGGAATGGATGATCCCATTTTCCATCAACGCAACGAATGGTGGTCGTGGTATCGTTAGTTCCTGCGACGAAGGCGTCTTTATTACAGATTATTGTCACGGATTTTCCATTTGTGTCATCTTTTATTACAAAGCCATTTGCAATCTTTACAGGCACATCTTCACATTTAGTTGCTATAAAAATAAATTAAAACAATGTTTATAAAAGGGAGATTACGTAAATACAAAGAATGCGTATTATTATTATTATTATTATTATTATTATTATTATTATTATTATTATTATTATTATTATTATTATACTTTTTTTTTTACAAAATCTGTATATTTTTAATTTCTGCCACTGCCGTGTTTATTGTCGCATTCATTGGCACCTTGTACCTACAGCTGTGCCTTGTTGTAAGCAATGCCGTAGACAGGATTTTCAAACAGTGTGGGACAATATCAGGGTGACTCACTTTACGCGTAAATTCAAATAATGTGGACCCATTTTACGCAGAAATATGAAAAAATCTGGACCCATTTTCTTAAAAGTTTACACATTTTCAAAGATTGTCAAAAAGTGGACTCATTTATGCATAAAATTGCATAATTTAGACCTATTTTTAAAAATGTGGACCCATTCTTTATGGACCCATTAGAAAAATTGTGTGGGACTGTCCCAACTGAAACAACCAATAATATTTTTGATATGGCTTGTAAGTCCTTTTTAAAAAGAGCATGGAAAGCGAGATGTGAAATTTTAGCGAATGTAAAAACATAAAATAATTCTTACCAATTTTATATATTTTGTATTTATTTTATCTATTTTAACTGCTCAAAACTTTTAATTTTGTTAAATATTTATATTTTAAAAGAGTTTAAGAATTTAAACAGTAATTACTCTTTTATTTCCGGTGTGCATATTCGTCTTTTAAACAAATATTTCAAACATTTCTCTGCCATAATTTGAAATTTTATTATTTTTATGCTCTTTTCAATGCTGAATTGAACTTAAATAAGTTGTCATTTTACTGTTTTTCTTGTATTGTAGGCCTATGTGTTTATCCTATAGTGTGCTTTAGTGTACCGGTACGAATGTACTGTGTTGTTTTGTGAACGCACCATTTGATAGTGTGTGCCACTGATATAAAAGTGTACGATTCAATAAAGTTATTATTATACGGCATTGCTGGTAACATAGTAATAAAATAAATACAAATATGAGTATGAATGTTCTAATCATTCAATCAATTCAAAACATACGTTTTGACCATTTGTAAACAAACTGACAGAAAATATGAAATGCGCTGTCATTGTTATCTTCATCAGAATCTCATCCACTTTAATGCTTTGATATTGCTGAAATGTACAGCATTTACACAATTAATGAAGACAAATCAAGTGCAATATTACCGTATGTTTTTTTTACATTGTCCTGTCTTCGGATTACTTACTATTTTTACAATCCGAAGGTAAAGCTGGCACCCATTCTCCGTCCGTGCATACACTTTTAAGCCAGCCTTCCTCCGTGCCTGGTATATAAAAACCAGTTTCACAGTAAATTCCAATTTCTGTGTTCTCGGCAGTTCCACTTCCTATTACAATCCCATGGTCAATGTCCAATGGTGGACTATCACACGACAAAGCTGCGAAATAATAGTTAAAACTGAATTTACAGTGACTCCAGCGATAAAACTAACATCTAGTTTAAATCAATCTTCCTCGCTTAATCACAGCTAGTGATTTAAGCTGGGTTTCCATACAATCGCTACACTGTCGATACAGAGTTTTCTGTGCAATCGTTGCAATCGGGAAGATTCCACGATTCGACCGACCAATTAACATCGCCGATGGGTGTCGGCGATAGCGTATACCGGTAGTGATTGTATGAAAACCAATTTTTTACGTGGCAGCAAAAATAATCAAATTATTTTAACTTGTAGCTGTCACATATTTTACTCTTGATTATTATTCCCTGGTGTAGTGTGTGTTAACATATTTATGGAATATTGCCAGTATGCATTACTAAACATAATTAGGCACAGTAACTGGGTTTCCATACAATCGCTACACTTTCGCTACAGTACTTTCAGTGCAATCGTTGTACTGCGTAGGAGTTTCCGAAGCAATCGGGAAGACTCCCTGATTTAATTGACCAATCAGCGTCGCCAAACGGAGTCAACCATAGCGTGTAGCGATTGTATGGAAACTCAGTTTAAGCTGTGCTCTGTCACATATCGTATCCTCTATTAGGTGTTGCACTGTCCGAGTGAGATCGTTATAATTTTGATTATCATCATAATGTATATAGATTATGAAATTGATAGGTACTGTATGTGGTTCAGTAAGATTGTTAATCTATACTTACATTTACAATGCGGAAATTCAAAATCCCAATGTCCATCATAAAGACATTTTAGTTTAGTTTCACCAATCAGTCTGTATTGTAGGGGGCATGAATATGTCAACTCTGCATTCAGTGGAAACTTGTTACTATCAATGATTTTTGAATAACTTATTTGTTCAACATTAAAAGTCGGTGGTGGTGGTGGGCAGTAGATTGCTGAAATACGAAACACCACACATTTCAAAATAATTCCTAAAATACATAGGCTAAAACAAACTAACATTTTGGATGATGTATCTTAATAATTCTATATAGGTGCTATATAAATGCTTATATTATTATTATTATTATTATTATTATTATTATTATTATTATTATTATTATTATTATTATTATTATTATTAAATTTTGATAAAATGAAACATTGGAAAAATAAATTTCATATCCCAACTTAGCTAGGCAATCATGTCTCAACGTATAGTAAATTAATCTCATTTCATATTGATCATATTTATTTTTTATTTTGTTCCTTTCAGCACAAATACGATGACAGGAAGCAGGGTACTAAAGGGGAGAAAGAAAGAAACTCATCTATCAGAATAAAATATAGGGGTGTATAGAAATATTATTACATTAAGTATGTAAAATAATAATATAATAATAAATATTGCCAAAATACAGTTACGTTCATTGGTTCATAGTAGATTACACACATCTGCGATCTGTGTTAAAATGCCCCCTCATTATAGCTATGTCCATGAAGATGACACTTTAACATAATGGGTTTGTTCAACTACGTTATTATGCTAAATAACATTGCAGTACACTCTGATTAATTTGAAATAGGAGTCAATGTATTTAATACTTACGATCAACCACCCAAACCTCCACTTTTATGGGCGGGGCGTTTTGGTCGTCTTTATCCCAGCATTTGTAGATTCCAGAATGTTCACGTGAGTCAATTACATAATATAGATTGCGTGAACCAAACATTGTATCTCCATGAACATGTAGTTCAGTGCTACCAGGAAAAGGCTTAAAATGAAGCTCAGCATCGTTGCTAGCTGTACATTCAACTCTTAGCTTTGCGACCTCAGCAACATTCATGATGTAGGAACTGTTCGGTGCAACTTGACGTGGGAGCGTTTCGTAATTTAAATATTTAAGAAATCGGAGTTTATTGGCTGACGAATCTGGTAATTCAACAGTAAGGACTTTAAAGAGTAACAGTGTCTGATATTCTACATGATGGATTGTTTTTCATTCATACATTTGTTTATTCAGTCCTACAACAATACATACATTAATTTATTCAGTCATATAAAAACAGATTAATAGGGCAGATATACAAACGTTCACAGATAGCAGGCCCGTATCCAGCTTTTTGAATGGGGGGGGGGGTGCGTTTTGCGAGCGCAGCGGGCAACCGGGACAGGGGGCCGCCCAGGGCCCCCCGTCGGGGTCCAGGGGCCGAAGGGTCCGGAAAAATTTGCTTTCTTACGTCCTAGTACACTAATTTGAAGGCATTTTATCATGTTAAGATCTCTATATGTCCGTGAACACAGCGATAGGGCCTATCAAAAATTACCAGTGGAGGACATGGAGAAACAAGCAAATTGTTTCCCAAATGAAAAATACTACTGTATAAATTCGTAACCATTACGAATAAAAATTCAAAATCAATTCTGCTTTTAAATGAATAATAGCAAAGTTTGATATAAAGAGTGCAGCTAGGGTACAGACCCAAACGAAACGTTCGACCAGCTTAAGTAGGGCTCTTATACACATCTAGATGTGTATAAGAGACAGGCTAATAACAGTCCTATTCCCCCTTTGCAAAGAGTATCATTATCATCAACATTGTTATTTATAATTAATAAACCAAAATTACTATTGTTATTTATATCATTATTATTTTTATTCACTAAATTATATTATTCCTAATATATAATTACTATAATTAATAACAACTAAAGAAATAACAATAAAAAACTAAGCATGCATTCCCACAGCTTAGTTAAAACTCTATAATCAGGGAGCAGTCATATAACGTTAGACTTTGCTTATGGTATCTCCAGACATGAATGCAAACATACTCTACGCTGTTTTCATCTGTAATTCTCTATAATATGCATTTTGTGAAAAAAATTGAATTTAACTAGCAGCAGTTGCTAATGCAAGTACAAACGGTATATGCAACTATACAGAGGTATTGTAAAGTGTATTGTAATCAGGGAGCAGTCATATAACTTTAGACTTTGCTTATGGTATCTCCAGACATGAATGCAAACATACTCTACGCTATTTTCATCTGTAATTCTCTATAATATGCATTTTGTGAAAAAAAATGAATTTAACTAGCAGCAGTTGCTAATGCAAGTACAAACGGTATATGCAACTATACAGAGGTATTGTAAAGTGGTGAACTAAGCCTATCACGTAGTTTAACTTTTATTATTTTTGATAGATTGAATGGGTAACTCTTCAATCATTTGGCGTGCACACTGATCTTTACAGTAACGCTTACAGGTTCTCAGGGGTGAGGGTGAAGCTCCGGCCCCCGTCCAAAGTGAACCCCAGTGGGCTGTCCCACTAATAAACAGCACTCTTCTAACAGAGCCTAGATATAGTGGTCCAGTAGAAGGCACTTAAAATTAGCAAATTGAAACAATGTAATACCACGTTATACCACTGATACAGTAACGAACTACAATTACATAGGTATCAAAACATTAACCAGAAACGGATTTCAATGATTTTTACGCAATAATAATGACTAAAGACCAGTGTCGTAGGCCTATCCATGGAGTGCGCGGGGGTGAGGCCTCCATGAACTACTCGCGCCCCAAAAAAACTGGTCAAGTTGTTAAAAAGCACCTAAAATCACCTTATTTTGCGAGTTAATTCCCCCTTAACTGACCATCGAACACGCACTTCACCTTCACGCCCCCCCACCATCAGCACTAATAGATATGCTACTGCTCACGACATTTTGAATATCATTTAACACTGTATTAAAAGTTAGCTGCACGTTTTCTCTAGTTTAAAATATTTTTAGACTAATACAAGTGTGTATATATAAAGGTATCTTTAAATGTAAACATTAATAGTAAGAATGTTTTTTGCATTTAAACAACTACATTTTTTTTATAAGAACCAGTAAAATTTTGCCCAGGCTCAGTGTTCTTATTTTCTGGCCGATTTCAGGCTCAAAATGTTCTTATTTTGTTCTTATTTTACACACTTTTCAAACTTCAAAGTATCACATGTTATACACTGTACTGTACCGGTATGTAAGTATAAGTCGCCCTGGAAAAAAATACCCCTGAAAAAAGGCCTGGAAAAAAAGGGCCGAGAAAAAAGGCTCTGCTAAAAATGGCTCCAACTGACAGGAGGTACACCTACTGTACTGTATTATAGATATATAATCACACCTACTTAAGGTACAAATAGGCCTATAAGTTTTTGGGTTTTTTTAAAATAAAAATTTCATTTGACATCTTACCTGAGCCTCAATTTGTTCTTATTTTGTTCTTAATTTTTAAGCAATTTCAGCCTCATTGTTCTTATAGTGTTCTTATTAAAAAAAAAAAGTGTATTACGCCGTGAAACCTGATGCCGACACAATTACGAAAAAGAATCAAAAGTGGAACTTACCACATGTAGCCGGAGATCCTGCCCAACTCCCATCCGAACAGACTCTTTCTCCTCCATTAATGAGTTGATATTTACCGATATCTTTGCACCGCGTTATCAGTATTGTCCCAGAAGGGAACTTGGTGTCGGGAAGAGTGAACTTGTCCAAGTCATATCGGTAGTTGACATTTACTACAGTGTTTTCTTTGATCGTTGGCATTCCACAGTCTTCTTCGACTACTATACTTGTTGATGGACTTGTATCTGCTTGTTTTACTGACAAAATATCCAAAGGTTTAATTTTCATCAGGGTGCCATCAGTGCGGGGAAGAGGGATAAGACAGAGGCCCCGCCGAAGAGAGCTATCACCCATCCCTCTGGAGAGAGCTGTCCCCCATCCCTCCGGAGAGAAAAACCACAATTCGTCGGAGAGATTTTTTAAATGTATTTTCTAAGTTAGTACACTCTAAAATCGAATAAATAAGCATTTAAAACCACTAAATTGTCACTTGCGAAACATTTAGAGCGACGCCCGAACACGCCAACTGTGCTCTCATCGAGGACATTGCCTCCCCCGCGGGACCTTAGACTCCCCGTCGGGAAAATCAGGATGCCACCCCTGATTTTCATATATACAATATATGGAAAGGATATACTGTATATATATATAT